TAACAACAGAGACATATGGCTGCCTAGATAGTCACCCAAAGTTCCTCTGCAATGTTGGGGCATCCATCTTTGGCCTACAGGCCTAGAACATCTGGCAAACTTTCCAGTGAAGTGCGAAATTTGAAGGACTGTCCCACCTTGTCTTGGCAAAGTCCAATAGTCTTTTTTCCTTTTTGTCCTGATTGTGCAGTCTATATACAGCATACTGTCAGCAGTCCAGGCAAGAGAAGTTTCTTGCCAGAATGGCTAGCCTTGCCACATTGAAAGCAAACTCCATATGGAGTTTCTTCGATGACCATCATCCTTTTATGAAGTAAATTGGTGCTGCCGGAAGCAAATGTGTCTCATTGTCATGAAAAAACTTAGGTTGTTAAACATCTTAAATGACCTTCTGTATGTCTTTGAAGTTTTTGAAAATAATCATCTATCTGTGTAAAATATATCTATTTAACCTTGAAAACATACCTAATGTGACTACAAGTTTGATTATTATAGATTAACTACTAACCTCATTTCTTACTTATACATTGCATTTTTAAATGAGCTGCATAAGCACAATACCCCAAACAAGAGTAGAAACATATATACAGAATAACAAAAATAACTTTAAATTTGTATCAATATACCAAAATCCATGCCAATGCAAAATATCTGAGATTAATAGTTGTCTTTTTATCCTATATTCCCCTATATGATAACAAACATCCATGACCCACCAAATAACCAAAAACTATCCACACACCACCTCTTGGGAATGTGGGCATTGTTTTCTCTAGACTGCTTCCTGTTGTCTGTGGACAAAGGCATCTTTAGGGGTTCCTGAGAAAATTTATATAATGGCCAAGTCCTGGGAAGACCAGCTGTAACCTTTGTTGATATATATCACCTGTCAAGATTCAGGAGGTCTTCCCCAATCAAACCTGATCCATATTAATCCTGAAGGAATCCACAGCCTCTCGTTTCCTGTGGAAACAAGAGCTAAACTTCTTCCCCAACGTAACATACTTTTTGACTTATTTTTTAAAGTTAAGATAGCCCTAAAGTACCTAGGTTGGTTCAATATTGCAGTCCAGTTCATGATCCCAAGTCTATTAGCAACTGTTGTTTGCTTATCAGAAATCAAAAACTCAGAATCAACACAATACTATATAGGATTCAGACTCCCTGTATATTTTCCCATTAGGTGCCTTTCTTTTTATATTACTTTTACTCTCTTTAAAGACTTTATTATTTTTAAAGTATTTCTTTCTATGACTGCCTACACCCTTTTTCTTTTCTTTCTTAAGCCTATGCACATTTTAAAACACAGTGGAACCTGTTTAGAGGGTTGTTTGTTTGTTTTTGTTTTTGTTTGTTTTTTTGGTCTGGATCTTTTTTCTGTGTATCTCTAACCCTTTTTGACCGCATGAGCCTTTGAACTGCTAAGCTGCAGGGATAGGGCCTCTGCTGCAGCTTTGGAGGCTGGCTCCACCCACTTCTAGGGTTTGTGAAAGCTAAGCTAAAGCTTGTAGCCTGCTTGGAGGTAGGTGACAAAGAACTGCATTCAGCCCCAGGTCTGGAATGTCAGTGCCCTGCACTGTGGCAGGCATTTTACTTAGTTTGTTATTTCTACTTAGCGTAAAAAAAGACTATTTTAAGTGCTCTGCTGTACAGCAGAACTTCTAAAAGGAGCCATGTCCGGTTTTTTTTGTTGTTGTTGTTGTTGTTTGTTTGTTTGTTTGTTTGTTTAATTTTTAAGCTTTCTCAGGCCCTATGGAAATTCAAGCTTCAGGTTGGAATGCCAAAATGTAGTTGGCTTTTTTTTTTTTAAATTCTTTGGGGCCCACCACCCAGCTCCCAAATAAATACACAGTCTTATTCTTACTTATGAATGCCTGGCCTTAGCTTGGCTTGTTTCTAGCCAGCTTTTCTAACTTAAATTATTCTGTTTCTCTTTGACTACATTTTGTCTCTGGGCTTTTTACCTTTCTTTATTCTATATATCTTTCTTTCCTTCTTACTCCGTGACTGGCAGGGTGGCTGGGTGGCTAGCCCCTGGAGTCCTCTCCTTCTCCTTGCCCCTCCCTCTTCACTTCTCTTCTTTTTGAGCCTAGATTCCTCCTATTTATTCTCTCTGCCTGCCAGCCCTGCCTATTTCTGTCTCCTGCCTAGCTATTGGCCATCCAGCTCTTTATTACACCAATTAAGTGTTTTAGACAGGCAAAGTAACACAGCTTTTTAGAGTTAAAGAAATGAAACATAAAAGAATGCAACACATCTTTGCATCATTAAACAAATATTCCATAGCATAAATAAATGTAACACATCTTAAACTAATATTCCACAACATACGTACATGTAAGTAATAAAATTTCTTGATGCTAAAAGAGCTGAAGACGTGGGGTGTTGGTGCTGATCATACCTTTAATCCCAGCACTTGGAAGGCAGAGAGGCAGGTGGATCTCTGTGAGTTTGGGGCCAGCCTGGTATACAGAGAGAGTTCTAGGACAGCCAGGGGTAAACAAAAACAAAACAAACAAACAAAAGAGCTGAAGATATATCCATGCAAAAATTAGTACACGTATGTTTATAGAAAATATCTTAGGGTTTTTATTGCTGTAATAAAACACCATGACCAAAAACAAATTTGGGGAGGAAAGGGTCATTTGGCTCACTCTTCCATTATGAAGGCAGACAGGGCTGGGGTGCTGCTTACTGGCTTGCTTCTCATGGCTTGCTCAGCCTGCTTTCTTATAGAGTCCAGGACCACCAGCCCAGGGATGGCCCACCCACAATGGATGGGCCCTTGCACATCGATCACTAAGAAAATGCCCTACAGACATGCTTATGGCTGATCTGATGGAGACAATTTCTCACATGCTTATGGCTGATCTGATGGCGACAGTTTCTTGATTGAGGTTCCGTCCTCTTAGCTGACTAGCTTGTGTCAAGTTTATGTAAAAACTAGCAGCACAGTGTATTTCTAATAACCCAAAGGGGAAGCAACCTGATGTCCATCAACTTGTGAACAGAGCAGTCTTCCTTGAAGACTTCAGGCTAGCTGCAAAAGAAGCCAGGCAGAAAAGACAAGACCACATAGAGCAGTGGTTCTCAACCTGTGGGTCTCGACCCCTTTGGGGGTCACATGTATAATATTCTGCATATCAGACATTTACATTACAATTCATAACAATAGCAAAATTACAATAATGGAGTAACAATGAAATTATTTTATGGTTGGGGGTCACCACAACATGAAAACCTATATTAAAGGGTCACAGCATTAGGGAGGTTGAGAACCACTGACATAGAGGATAAATCCTTTTATATGAAAAAGCCATAAGACAAGCAGGTCTTAAAGATACAAAGTAGATGAATGGTTACCAGGCATAAGGAAAGGAGGTTGTGTGTTACAGAGTTCCTTTGGGGATGTTGGAAGTTTCTGGAATCATGTAGTTGTGATGTTTGTATAATTCTGAATATGCTTAGAACCACTGGACTGCAGTCTAGATTGGGTTTCCCCATGTCCTCGTGGCTAGGTTTCCTGGGCAGGCATTCTGAGAGAACCTGAGTCAGCTGGGAGCTTCGAGGCCATTTTACATACAGCCCAGAATGTACAGTCTCACTTTCCCACGTTGTGATTGCTGAGGCTGTCACAGGTTCCACCCCCACCTCAAGAGGGAGGGTGAGTGTAAACACCATCTCCTGGTGGTGACAAGGTTCTAGGACACACAGGATTAGGAATGTTGCTCTGACTATTTTGGAAAGGTATCTGTAGCAAACATCTTTTTACTTATAAATGCGGACAACCTCATTCTGTAAAAAGATGGGGGAAAGTGGAAGGTGTTGAGACAGGATCTCAGTTTGTAGCCCAGACTTACCTGTAGACCACAGTGGCCTTGCAATCACAGCAGTCCTCCTGTCCCAGTCTCACAGATTCTGTGATAAAAGTACGGAGGCACCACATTCAGCTAAAAGGTGGTTTTGTCCTGAAAAGTACCAAAGAAAAAAAATGTGCAACTTCTTAAGCATTGCATATTTAAAGTTTATATACATATTAGGGGCTGGGGAAATGGCTCAGCCGATAAAGCACTTGCCGTGAAGTGTGAGGACTGGGGTTTGGGGTCCCTAGAACCTATGGAAAAGCCAGGCAGACATGGGGCTATAATCCCAGCACCTGAGGCAGATTCAATAGGGCGAACTGATTAGCCAGATTAGCAAGAAGTGGTGAGCCCTTGTCTCGGTAAGTGAAGGGAAGAGTAATTGAGGAAGACGCTGATGTGAATTTTGTGCTTCCATGTGTACCACGCTTACATCACAAATGAGTATGTACATATTGGAAAACAGTCATGTTGATATTTTGTGTATCCTTCCACAATTAAAAAGAATTTTATCTGGGAGGACGCGGTGGAAAGAGGAGGTTGGTGGGAGGGTCTCACTTATGTACCCTAGTCTGGCCTTGAAGTCACAAGCCTCCTGCCTCATCCCCAAATAGTGGGACGACAGTGTAACTGTGTCTGGCTATATAATATGTCAGCATTTTATATGCACCTTGCATTTTAATCTTGTAAAGATTGATTCAATATTATTTTATGTGTATGAGTGTTTTACCTGCATGTATGTCTGTGCGCCATGTGTGTGCTAGAGGTTAGAAGACGGTATTGGATCCTCTGCAACTGGAGTTACCAGGCAGGCCGGGGGAGTGGAACCAGGGTGCTCCGCAAGAAGTGCTCCTAAATGCTGAGCCATTTCTCCAGTACCCCCTTACACACACACACACACACACACACACACACACACACACACACACACACACAAGTTGCTTTTTTATTTACTATTAGCCGTGGGGATCTTCTCTCTTTTATGTGGGAATTAGCCATGTTCTTCTAAATGGTGACATAGTTTCCATTGTATGGCTGAAATGCATTTACTCACTCTCCTGTCCAGTACCATTTAATTGGTTTCTACTTTGTAACCGTGGAAACCAAGTCTTCAGGGAACATCTCCATATGTTTTCCCAGGGGAAAGTGCATCAGCATCTGAAATTGGAACTGGTCCCAGTCTGGTGGCAGGTGCTGTGCTGGTCATCCCAGAACACAGGAGGCTGAGGCTGACTGTGAGTTCAAGGCCACTCTAAGCCCTGTAGAGAGACTAAAAACATGCACTAAAAACAACTAAGTGAACAGACATTGATAAATTACCGGCTGAAAAGACTGATCCACTGTTAGTTGCCACCAATGATGGATGAGTCTGCCGCTCAGAGTTCACCGACACTGATGACCCTGCGGTTTTCATCCTTGTCCTCTGACAGGTACGAGCACTTGCTGGGTTTTTGTTGGCATTTGTTTCTTGAATATGAGCAGAATTGAGCATCTAGATGCTCATCATGGATACCTTAGACAAGATTCTGTTCTGGACTGCGGCCATTTCTTCCGACAGGAGCTGAGAATGGTCAGTCACCCTTCGCAACAGCAACAGCTTCAGAACGAGCCCAGCCTGGTTAGCAAGGGTGGGGTTGACGCACAACTGGAATAAACATCCAGCTTTCAAAGTTCCAACTGCTACTTCAAGTATTTGGTCACGTGCCCACCCCAGCGTTAATACATTAAAACAGTGGTGTGTGTGTGTGTGTGTGTGTGTGTGTGTGTGTGTGTGTGTGTGTGTGTGTTTATTCATGTGTGCATGTGGAGGTCATAAGACAACCTTAAGCGTCAAACCTTATCCTTCACCTCATCTGAGACAGATCTCTGTCACTGTTGTATACCCAGGTTAGCTGGCCTTCAAGTTCCCAGGGAGTCTCCTGCCTTCCCCATCTCACCACAGATGCACTGGGATTGCAGAAGTACATGATCATGCCCATTGTATGTGAATCAAATGCAGGTTCTCACACTTCTGTGGCGAGTACTGAGCCATTTCCCTAGCCTGACTGATCCTTCTTCAAAGATGGGCTCTCACTATGTAACCCAAGCTGGCACTGAATTCCCGATCCTCCTGCATCAGCCTCCCAAGTGAGAGATGACAGCTGTGCCCCATCATGTCGGCTTCAGTGGTCTCTTTAACCCCAGTCACGGCATTACCACCCCAGACCTCTCACAGACAAGACACCCTCAGACACTGTCACCGGTGAGAAACGTGTGGAAGACCAAGGATGTCGGCGGGAAATCCCTAGTAAAGCGGGGAGGGAGCTTTAGTTATAATAAGAGCAGGCTTAACGGAGCTGCCTGCTGCCTCACGTAGCCCAGTCACCCCAACAGTCTGGGGGTTTCGTTTTCTTTATTTGCCTGGATTGGCGCAGCTAATTGGAGCATTGGGCAACACCCATTTCGATGGTCTCTGCTAAAAGCTGTACCCTTGGGGCTGAGGGTCTTTGTTTCCCATTCTGAGGAGAAGCCATGAGGGAGGGGAAGGGGAGAACAGAGCACCCTTCCATTGTGTTTTTAGCTCCGCTTTGCAGAATAATGGCAGTGTTGCGTGAGCCCTGACAACTGCCATACTGAGATTTGTGGACAGTGAACTTACCGTCGATGAGTGCCACACCACCTATACTGAGTTGCTAGCAACACTGTTGTTTTCCCATACTCCTTTGTAAGGAGCAAGCAAGCTTTACCTCAGGCAAATCCTGTGTGAAGCTGAACTGAGGAGTTGCTTGTGTAGACAGCCTGGGGGATGTTTACCGGAAGCCTGGACCCTGGGGAGGGTTTCCAGATGAGTAGACCCCAGGTAAGGCAGGCTGGAAAGTCCTGATAGTCCTGTGGCAGAGGCCGGGACGGCAGAGGCCGGGATGGCAGAGGTCGGGATGGCTGGCTTCTGTGCATGGCTCTGTGGTGTCTCTGAGAAGGGTGGGGCCTCAGCCTGAGTCCTAGCTTCAGCTAAGATTCCAGGCCTAAGTTTGCAAATGAGGGAACCACAAGCCCCCCTGTCCTGAAGGTTGGAAGCCTGGGCTATGAGCATCGGCTTTGATCTCAGGAGGAGGGTAGCCCTGTCCTATTCTCCAGCTAGGGAATTCTGGATTCCCATGGATCTGCAGGGAAGCGTGAACTTGCCTCACTCACCCTCTCACTACCAATGTAGTTTTCCTGCCACTCCCCAAGATGACTTGAAATTAAAGAAAAGGAAAAAGACAAGTCTCACTCGAGTTTTGAAAGTAAGATTCATAGTGCACCAGTGAGAAGAAATTCCAGGTGAATCTCAGAATTCGCTCATTCCTACCCACTTGTATTTCAGAGTGCTATTTTGAGTGAGAAGGAAAGTGATGATGTCACGGTGTGGTTCTGGAGACCTTGCTTGTTATTCTCCCAAGGACAAGGAACACCCGTCCTGCAGCACTGTGGAAACACAACTGGAAGCCACTCTTCAGAGAAGGTGGGAGAGGGGCCGTCAAGACGGCTCAGCAGGTAAAGCAGCTGCCGCCAAGTCTGATGACTGGGGTTCAGTCTCCAGAACCTACGGGGTGGAAGGAGAAACCTAATGCTTGCAAGTTGTCTTCTGACCTCTGCACAAGTGTTGTGGTGTGTGTGTGTGTGTGTGTGTGTGTGTGTGTGTGTGTGTGTGTGTGTGCAGTTTCTCCACAGGGCCCACCTTTCCATGATCTGCCCTGCCCCACAGCCCCTGTACATGCTGACCAGCAAGGAAAGTGACCCATGGATCTGAGCCTGTTTGTGCCTGGCTATGCAGGAACAAGAGGATGCAGGTGAATCAGCAATACAGTCAAACTCCGAAGATTCCAAAAGCCCCTGAGCTGTGAGTCTTCTCTCAACATGAAGAAGCATGACGGCTTACACATTGCAGTGGCAGCCAGCCTAGCCCAGCCCGGCCCAGCCCGGCCCAGCCCGGCCCAGCCCGGCCCAAAAGCTTCAGTAGTGTCAGCAAGCTTTGCCTGTGCCTGTGGTGTCTGCTTGCGTCTGGGCTTGCCTGCCCTTGGTGAAGGGCAAAAAATGGAAACTGCTCTCCTGGAGATGACAGCTGGCTTGGGAATGCTGGTCTCAGCACTCCACTGGGGGTTGGGCCACCAGCATTGGCAGACTTGGAATTTTCCATCAAGTGGGTCATAAGGCACATGATTTATAACTTTAGGTGCAAAAGGGTTTCGCTTGACCTCAGGCTTTTAAAATTTTTATAGCAACATTTAAAAATTGGTTACCATCTGTATCTAAAGAAAAAGTGTGTGTGTGTGTGTGTGTGTGTGTGTGTGTGTGTGTGTGTGTGTGTGTGTACCCTTGGCAGCAGAGCCCAGAAACACTGCAGGAGCAAGCCCAGGGTCAGGTAGACCCGAGAGCTCATGCCTATTGCAGTGGTCCAGAGGAGCCAGCATCATGGCAGCAGGAGAGATCAGACATTAATATAACAGAACCTGAGGTAGGTAGATGAGGAAAGTTAACTTCTAGATCCGCCAAGCAGACCAGCAAATGCCTCGGGGTTGTCTGACTAATGGGGTGGGGACTCAGGAGAGCTCTGCAGGTCTGGATTGGTGACAGAAGAAATTTCCGAAGACGACGTGTGAAAACCAAGAGGCGTTCCATGTAGAAAATGGACTCCGGGGACTGGAGAGATGTGCCACCATTAAAAGCATTTCCTGCCGCCAACACAAGAAACACAAGTATTACCTCAAAGAGGCTAGTTTATTTTGAAGTCAAATATGAGTGACCATGGCCTGGGAATGCAGATTCAGGTTACCTCAAATTCTATGTTCCAATGTGGAAGGAATCTCATGAAATTTTTATGGTAACAGAACAAAGAAAGTCGTGAGTCAAGACACTTTCAACTACCTTAGTGGATCCATTGGGCGGTCGGGTTATAGCAATATGGAGAGAACTCAGTCTGGGCCTTAGATGCTAGCTGTGAGCACTCCCGGGGTTTGCTAGTACATTCCAAAGGGTTCTTATCTATTAGTCACAGCAGCTTGAGTTTGACTTACTCTGTTAGTCATGGGATATTAGGTCTGACACAGAGGTGGACAAAGAATGGCTATTTAGCTCAAAAATGTGTGCTTAGACTCTGGATCTGTTGCATCCCAAGCTCTCCACATTTCTGAAGTTCTAACCGGTCAACTGGCCTTTGCAGACACAGCTTCCTTCCAGCGATTCTCATTTACACTGCTCTTCCCCAGCACCTAAGTGTGATTCCCAGCACCTGTGCTGGGGGCTCACAGCCACCTCTAGTTTCTTCTAGGCACAGACCTTTAATCCCAGCACCTGGAGGCAGAGGCCGGCAGATTTTGGTGAGTTCAGGGCCAGCCTGGCCTGCTACATAAAGAGTTCCAGGACAGCCACGGCCATGAGACCTCTGCCTCAAAAACCAAGATAACAACTACATAAAACCGCTTCTTAAACTGTGATCACAGTTTGTCTAAAAGTGCGTGGGAAAGGACACACGAGGACACACACACACACACACACACACACACACACACACACACACGCGCGCACACTCGGTGACAATAGTAAAAAGTTTCTGAACAAACAATAACCAAAAACTAATTTAAAATCAAACATAATGAAATATTACACAATCGATTGTGATGAATCTGAGGCATTTGCGGCAGTGTCTGACTGTGTTGCATCATGGGATTTCACTGCACCCTTGATTTTGAATACAATAAGTCACATTGCTCATTAGCACAGACACCAGTGAACACTGAAGCGCCTCAGCTCAGCATAATGGCTTAATTATAGAAAACAAAGAAAAAGAAAGGCTGGAGAGATGGCTCAGTGGTTAAGAGCACCAACTGTTCTTCCAAAGATCCTGAGTTCAATTCCCAGCAACCACATGGTGGCTCACAACCATCTGTAATGAGATCTGGTGCCCTCTTCTGGCCTGCAGGGACACATGCAGGCCAAATACTGTGTACATAATAAATAAATCTTAAAAAAAAAAAAAAAAAACAAAGACTTCATATTTTGCTACTATCATTCTTCAGCACATAAGTATCAAATAGGTCCCTTGCAGGAGCAGTCAGTGTTCTTCAATGCTGAGCCATCACTCCAGCTCCGGCACTGATAATCATAAAACCAAAAAACATCGGTCAATTCTGAAAAATGTTGGAGATGCTCTAGGTCCTGCCATATCAAACATTCAACCAAGATTTATTTTGATATGTAAAAATATTATTGGATTGGTATAGAAATTTACTTTATCTTTAATAAATGGTAAAATTATATGAATATCAAAAGTTGCTTTAAAATATGTTTTCTTTCTTTTTTGAACCAGGGACTTACATAGCCCTAGCTAGTCTCAAACTCACAATATAGTTGAGGCTAGACTTGAACTCCTGATCCTCCTGCCTCTACTCCCCAAGTGCTAGAATTACATTTTGGTGCCACCACATCTGACTTAAAATCAATTTCTTTCTTATTTATTATCAGTAGATGTTTCTTTTGTATACCTATAGACCCAGGGATAGGATTTTCTCAGTTAAAAAGGTGATATGAGTGAGAAAAATTTAAGAAATGT